ATAATCCGAAGCGATAGCAACTGAAGTGTAGACGATGCCAATGACTTGTCCTCTCTATGCAGGCTCTGCCACCCCAGCCCCATGGCCCGACTGACGCTGATTGATTTGAATAAACGCGCGCATATTTATCAAATTAGCCACAAGCCACGGAGGGAGACATATAGCCTCTGCCGAGATGTGAATGTGGCTGTAGATGCGGATATGGATCTGGATGGGGTAACTACTCGTACATATAGACACATTCATGGCTCGCACAAAGTGTCATCAACTAATCAAGCAGCAGGCGAGGAGGAGCAGAGGAAGAAATGGACAGATGAAATGAAGATGAATCTTTTGTGGTCAGTGAAGGCATAAATTTCAACAAAGAAAGATACAGAGAGAGAGCGAGTGGGAGAGGAAGAAACTTAAGCGGTGAAAAGTACAAACATCATAATAAATAGGCGCATCAAATTGATAAAATGTTGAGCATTTCTGCCTGATTTTGATTTAAATGCCCTGCCATAAATCAATAAATAAATGAATAAATATTACATCCTTTGTTCGCAGTCCTCACCCTCACCCCGTAATAAATAATACTCGTATTGTCTGAGCGAGATTTCGCCACAATTTCGCGCTGTCCATTAGCGCATGGCATGAATAAACAGCCGGATCCGGAGCCGTAGCCAGAACCACATTGTCCGGCTGAGACCATTAACGTGCTTTGTTTAGTCGGGGAAATAATAATAATAAAATGGGTTAAGTCTTTCTCTTCCCTTCCGACAGAAATTTTAATATTTGCTTAGCGCCTTTTTAATGCATTTCCTAAGATTTCACTCTGTAAGCAGCTGCCAGGCGGAGGTTTAATAAAAACTTCGCTAAAATATAACATTGAGAGACGCAGCACTGGACAAGGGTTAAGCTGGAACAGAGAGAGAAAGAGAAAGAGAGAGGTAACGAGCGAGCCAGAAAGCGAGAGAAGCTAAAAGCGGGTCCATAATTTTGAATAATTTTGTTATTTATTTCTTTATTTTTCGGCCAAGGAGCAGCACCCACAAAAGGAAGCCCAACAATAAAACCAAGCCCTGGAAGAGGGCCGGGCGTCTGGTTGATGGGGCTCTGCCGTATATTTTCATTAAAACCCATATTATTTAACGGTCTTTTGGGGGCGAAAAACTGTTAAAGTATTTTCCGTCTAATTAAACGGGTGAGCCCATATACATACATATACAAGAAAAAGTTGTGTTTGATGGGAAAGTTTTCCACCAACTGCATAAAACACAAATCAAATGTACCCAAAAACGTCCCCCGTCCTTTCCATTTTTGCCATAAGCAAAGACTAAGCGCTTGTCAGGGGACGTGCGAAACAATAAAACAGAGAATTACATTAAATAATTCAATTTAGTTGAACAGAAACTAAGAAAGCGAAACAAAACCAAAAAAACAAAAAACAAAAAAAGGAAAACATAATGTAAAATAATGCTAACGAAACGATAAACGAGGTCACTGCACGGTGGCGTATATGTAATTTCAGCCCACACGACCAAGGGGAGGCAATAATAAAACTACAACCGAAATAAAGGGAAATACCAAAAATGCCTTTTTATTGAAATTTATTGGAAAAGTTTCGACTCCCCATCCACATCTGCCCCACACTCTCACATATTTCAATTAGTTTCAATTTGGCTAAAAACCGAACAAAAAACTATTTCCAAAATATACGTATAAGAACAACAATTTCAGTCATACAATAGATTTTTGATTGCGGCAAATAATAGCATGGGTGGAATGGATGGATTATTGTTTAGGCTCTTAACAAAATACAATAATAATAATCGAATATTACGAATACGCACCATGTGCCCACTAAAAGGCAACCAACCCTTTCGATTATATAGCCATAGCCAAAGATATATTTACAGGCACACGTACGTGCGTGTGTATCTATGGAAACATCCGTTGAGCGTTCAACGTTGGCCAGCTGCATTGGCCATCGAAACGGAAATGAGAACTCAACGCAGCGGAAATTTAATAACGACCAACAATTTAGCCATCTAGGGAGAAGGGCGACCAAGAGCGGCTGGCAGCAGCAGGAGCAGCAGGCGATCGTCCACAGTGTGGCCAGGAGGAGAAGGACATATTTATGCGGCCATTTTGAGTGACCGCACAACTGTGCGGCAGTCAACCCATAACCATTGCCAACAATCGCTCGACCACCGCACCACCGCGCCACCAGCCCAACCAGCTGCGACCACGCCCTCCAATTGTTGTTCATTGACAAATGACCATTTCATATGTGAAATGGCAATTCAATTGATTTCTCTGCGCCAAACCGTTTGCAATTGAAATGAAAATAGTTCAAATATGTTTCAGCCATTGCGGCCGCCCCCCATCGTTGTAATGAGAAGTATTTCATAAGGCCCCAGTCCTTGCTCCAGTCCCGGTCATAGTCCCACATACAGCCACATAAATTGATCTGGGTGTACGAGTACGAGTATGGGCGAGAAAAACTGACAACAAATTGTCAATAACAATGTGTGGGTGGGGCGGCGGGCAGGCCACGGCGGAGAAATGTTGAAAGCCAAAACGGCAAATGGCATAGGAATTTATTGCCTAGAACAGTTCAAGTATGTCAACGGGCATAATAATAAATTTTATAGTTTAATTTGACATGGCGCACAATTCTGCTGAGGAGCCAAAGATAATGTCGTCAATGATATTGGATTGTCATAAATTTCCACAACTTTCATGTCTACAAAAGAAATAAAGAAAACCCTACAGAAAGCGATACCGTGGCCAATACGGAACGAGAGTGGCCCAGAAATGAGATGTAACTGAATTCGAAGAAATAATATCAACAGGTAAGCGACTTCTGCGAAACCCTAAAAATATTTGTCAAACTAATGAAGGATATCTGATGAAGAAGCATGCCTTCGCTGAGTAGCTGAGATGACAAACATAGCATACAGTAAAAACGAGGGGGAACGTTGTGAGTTGCTGCGGACACCGCAACTCTACAGTTATACCCGATACTAAGTCAGTATGGCTTTCCTCCGGCAGACGCCGCTAATATTAAACGACACGACAAAGAGTGCGTGCGAGAGAGACAGAAAATCAGTCTGAGCGTGACGTCGGGCGCTGCGTAGCCAATGCAAATTGATTTGTTCCTTTTGGCTACAAAAATGATCTGATCTGATCCAGATTCAGCAATCTGATAGATATGGTCGTTATCTATGATTCTGCGTTTTTAGTTTTCTCGAATCTGCAATATTGTGGATGCAACAGATTTTCGTCCTTTGTGGGGGCGGAAGGGGGTGGGGCGAAATTTTGAGTTAAAGGTTTTATAGTGAGATCTAACAGAAGTGCGGATACCAAATTTGGTTACTCTAGCTTTAATAGTCTCTGAGATTTGTGAATATCCCCAGATTTGCATCCTTTGCGGGGGCGGAAGGGGGTGTGGCGAAATTTTGAAACAAACTCGTCTCGGTCCGATATATTAGGAGTGTGGATACCAAATTTGGTTGCTCTAGCTTTTATAGTCTCTGAGATCTAGGCGCTAATGTTTTACTCTAAGCAAAGCCGCCTATGCTACCTGTGTGTTAGAGCGAGACAGGGTGAGAAAAAATGAAATTGTTTTCTTGATGCTGGCTATAATAGTAATACGATCCAATTCAGATTCTGCAGTCTAAAAGATATGGTCATTCTCTACGATTCTGCGTTTTTTGTTTTCTCGTACAGACGGACGGACAGACGGACAGACAGACATGGCTCAATCGACTCGGCTATTGATGCTGATCAAGAATATATATACTTTATGGGGTCGGAAACGATTCCTTCTGGACGTTACACACATCCACTTTTACCACAAATCTAATATACCCCAATACTCATTTTGAGTATCGGGTATAAAAATGTACTCGTTTATTATCTAAATCGCAACAGAGGAAAAACAATTTTGTGTGAAATTAATTTCCCTAATCAGCAGCTGCACAAGTCACCCAGTCACCCAGAGATGTACTCCTGTCAAGAGCCTGTCAACCTTGCTCCTACCACTCCTTCGTGTGCTACCAATCAAGTTTATTAAATGCCTCCTGCCAGGATTCAATTATCTTCCTGACATTCTTTTTGAAGCCAGTTGTGTTTTATAATTCATCCAGCACACATCCAGCTGATACGTATACGAGTACGTGGATGGCTAAAACGCAGAGATGACTTCGCCAGCTGTGTTTGTCAGATAACAAAGGAGCCCAGGACTCTGACACACAATACACACTCACCCTTTCCGAGTGGCCCCACAGTCCCCATTGTGCATTTCTTTGGCAAAGATTTGAGTGCTGATATATGTATGTATTTCCCAGCGGATTCTCGGAAAATTAAGTTATGCAGATGAGACCCATTATAAAAGTGTTGGCACAAGTTGTTAATAAAAATGTGAAAATGTGAAAAAGAGAACAGAAATTTGATTTAATTTGCGTCGAGTAATTACAATTGACACCAAGACAAACTCTCAACTTGTGCTCTCAACTGAGCTTCACAGAGCTGCACAGAGCAGAGCTGACGAGAGCCGTAAATTGCGTCTGCCCAAAGCTTAAGCCAAAAAGTAAATGTTCCTTTATTTACTTTCATTTAAACGAATTCAGAGTCGTCAGGAGAGTTCTTCCTTTTCACACTAGACCACAAAATAAAGAAAATTTGCATAACAAAAGGCAGTTCCAGCTGCTGCACCATGCAAATATTGCTAAGGCGATTCTTAATTTTCAATTAAAATCCAATTTATCAAATGACAAAGCGTCCAAAAAAGGTTCTTTGTTCTTCACCCTTTTTGCTGTTAATGAATTATAACTTGAGCGAGAACGAGACGAATCTGATTGAGTTCAACTTGGGGAATATGTATATGTACTCGTATTCGGGGTAATTCAGCAGCCTTCAGAAACCCTGACACCAAATCGTTGAAGGCAAGTATTCGTTTATTAAATACTTATATTATATTAACTAATAGACATTAACAACTAAAGTGTATTCAACGAAAGCAATTCCAAAGAAAGCGGAGTTCCTGTTAAGTATCCTCAGGTCTTAAATTGTTTCGTCGTTCTCCAGAACGCATGGGTGTCTACAAAGCACAATACCTCTTTTCTGTTCTCGTAGAGTCCCTGGCTGTCTAATCTTCTGGCCAACAACTTAAGCGCTGGATATCCAGCAATATGCAAGCTCAACAGAAAATCGGATATCACCGCATATATTTCTTCTTCTAGGTCATTGAGAGAATCGCAAGTTTTCTGACAGGATAAACGAAAATCGTGCAAACGGTTCGGCAAAATGGAGCCGACATAACTGTCATCACTTGCATAATCCATATAAATGTGGAACAGCCTGTAGAACTTCTGTTGGCGTCCTTCTAAGTCGAGGATGAGACTGAACACTTTCTCCAAGTAAACGCTGGACCTTTTTACAGTTTTCGTTTGAAAAGAGCCGAACTTGACCGCGTCCAGATAGATAACATTGGCCTCGAGCATTTCGTCTATGCTCCTGACCTTCTGAAGAGCCAGCTTGAGCTCGGCAAAAGCCTCGTCTAACACTTCGTGTAGAAGGAAGCTCTTCAAAACATCCATCAAGTCGAACAGAATGTCGATCAATTTATCGAAGTGGCACTGGACATGTTCCAAGCCATTATTGTCCAGGAGGATATGTTTTCGAAAGTGCCAGTTTTGCCTCATAATCCTTTCGCAGAGTACATAGTAAGCATGATGGAACTTCCATAGGCCGGGAAAGACCGACTCGTACTGCTTAACACTGTCCCCCAGTAATGCTTTCCAGTGGATAGGCAGCTTCCAATGCAGGACAAAGCGGGACCAACACTTCGAACCTTCTGAATTGGCTTCCCCTACATATAGATCAGAAACTCGAATAGATAACATGTTGCTCATCATAAAGTTCAATTGCTTGGTGTCGTAGAACCTTGCCTCCCCTTCCAGTACAGGTTCAAGTAATTCTATTAACTGCCTCACAAAGTGCATATCTCTTAGCAACAAGTATTTGTGTAGGTTTTGGAAAAGGTCCAGTGGAACTGGTGCATAATCGTAAAGACATCTCATAACCTTACCACACACATCCGAGTGCAGCTCCGAAACGAGCTGAAAAAGTGGCTCCTGGTCTCTGTTCTGATAGAACTGCTGAAAGACGTCAAGCAGTCTGTAGTGTAGCTCTGTCGTTGATAAGAAAGTTTCTATGTTTGAGAACAGATATATTCTGGAGAACATATGGTGTCTACCTATGCTGATCATCAGCATGGATAGCCGAGTATCGAAAAACATTGAGAAGGCTTCTGCCAGCTGAAAACGTTCCTGCCAAAATCGATCTGTGCTTAATGCTAAATTTTGAACAATAAAAAACTCGTCACAGCCCGATTCTGGGAGTTGACCATTCCGCAACCAGTGGTTGAGCTTGATAAGTAGGTGGTTGCTTACTATCATCAACCAATTTTGCACTTTAGCCTCTGCCATATCCACTGTTTGAGCCAACTGATTGTAAAGCGATACGACACAAGATTTGCTGTTCTGTACATTGACAATTAGGTTCAGAAGCACCTGAAACCTCTGCTGAAAGCCTCGAGTGCCCAAGAATAGACGAAGTAGACTTCCGCGACTATTCACCTGTTGATTATAGAATTCATGGAATGAGGACAGATCCCCACGAATACATTCCGCCAGGGCTTGGTCACTTTGTGTTAGGCCCTGTTGGGCCAGCTCTTGCACCTTTAGCTTCAAGGATCGATACAAGGATCCGACATGGCCCAGGGCCAAAAGCAAATAGGACTCGCTGATGCTGTGCTGGTGATGCGGCGACCGAATCGGCAGTCGCGAATTCAAGTCGGACAATCTAGGATGGGCCGACTCAGAGCCCAGCAAACCATCGAGTGCGTCCCGATAGCGATCTTCATCCGTCAGCTCTTGGCCACCACGGTTTCTCAGCTGCCAGGCATCTCTCTCTGCACTGGTAAGTATCTCTGTCAGCTGACACTTTGCCACTCTCGTCAACCAATCTGAGTAGGTGATGTCCTTGGGGAGGTCTTTCTTGATATTTCGCAGGTATATCTTTAGACGTGATAGAATTGAGGACATCTCTTCAGAAAGTACATTATCCTTATGTTCTGTTTCCTCATAGAACTGGTCCAACTGCTCAAATAAATTGGGAGCATTCAGATCCATTGAGGGATTTGACTTGAATAGTTTTAGAATATAACGTGGCGCCGCTATTATGTGGCGCTGATGTTGTAAATTCGAAGTGAATTCTGAAGATACTTTTTGTTCCATATTCACCGTATAAGGTCTGACGATTGTCGTGTTTTCCGCATAATCATGTAGTGCTTCGAAGTCCGTTTCAGATTTCTGTCTTGGTGGAACTGTAGGAACTTTTGTATTGTCATTGTGTACTGTCAATCTGGACAAGGAATTACGTTCTTTCGTCAGAATGTATATTTTACTCAATCCTGACGATATATCTTCGAGATCATCGCTCAAAGAAAACAAATCTTCAGTCGTGTCTTGGAGGCATTTCTGGATCTGATCTGTGTTGGTTCTTGGAACAACTTTACCCATTATTGTCATAGTTTGAATGAATTCCGATGCTAAAACTTTTGTTTGTTTCAGATGTTCCCACGCTAAGTCCTCGTTTTTCTCCTGAAATTCACGAAAAATCTCCTGCACTCCATTGGTTTTCTGATCAACTGGATCTATCGGAACAGACACTGCAACATTCACATGTGCACCCACAGATTCCTCTATTGGAGCATTCACATTAACACCAATAGGCAGAGAAATTCGTGTATCTATAAGAATATCCGAGGGCAAATCAACAGGCATTTCCTTTTGCAAATTCACAGGTACCTCAAACGAAGCTTCAACGGGATCATTCCCATTAAAATTCACAGCATAATCCAAAGCGTCATCCGTTCTACCAAAAACAGTATCTGCAACATCAGCATGTGAATCGAATTTTTCATTGCTGTGAACATTAACACTAGATTCCTGATCGGTCGCAGCATCAAGTCGTGCCGTAATCTTTTCAATGTTCATGTGTAAGCGATCTATGCACTTTAAGCGGAAACTTAAAGATTCCTCAAAACCCATATCTTTCTTTCGATCCTCACCGTATAGCTCGCAACATAGCTCGATGTATTTCATACGCTCTCGCTCGTCCGTATCTATGCCAACCAACTCCTTATAGAGACACATAAAGATATGCTGCTCAGCCTCGTGTAGAAACTTTCCTTCAGCATCTGATTGCTCCTGCAGATCCTCGTAACGCAAGCGGATATCATTGAGCAGCACTCCTTCCATTGAATCATTGGTTGAGGTGTTCCTCTTGGAACTCTTGGCTAAGACTTGAAATATCTGGTGTACATTAGGGCGATAGTTCCCAAGGGTAACGCCCAACTCATAGATTCCCATAAAAATATCGTATTCTTCGTTATCTGCAGATATCTTGCGTGATGATTGCTTCTTATCCATCTCGGGCTCAATGATATTTAGAACAATAATATTTATAAATCTTGAAAACGTCAGATACTAAAATGATACAATTTGAATGTAACTACTTTCTCAGTGCTATAATCTAAGAAATGGGATTTCAGTCTACTTTATCTATTCCTATGTTTCAGTGTTTCCCACTCCCATCGCACTATTCACAATAATTAACCCATAAATCTGTCACAAGATTGTCGACAAGTGGAAAAACTAAACCCTGCCATTCAGCAAAAATTGCGATGCCTTTGCACCTTTTGCATGCGGCAGCGTCAGTGGCGGTGGCAGCCGCCGCAACCTTTTGCAACTCCCTGCCAACTTTTCATTCATTATATGGCTCTCAACGCGCACGCGAATCTGGAATGGCTGAACGGGGCGGAGTGGGCGGAGAGGTGGGCTGCTGGAAATGTATGACGCTACTTTTAACCTCAGACCGTAAAAAGTTTTGCTGCAGCAAAGGGAAACTATGCAAAGATAAGTGAAAAAGATTATATATGCATTGTACTAAAATTTACCGCCAACATGAATGAGGGAGTCGAGAGGTCGGCTCGGGCTGAGTTTGAGAAAAAGAACAACCAAATTTTGTTACGGCAAAATGGCACAAAATTTACGTGCAGACAAGTCAAACGAAACGGAGCGGAACAGGAAGCGGAAACAGCCATTTAAAAAGAAGCCGCACAAGACAACCGCCAAAGAAGCAGAGAGAGGCAATTTTATCAAAAAGAACTCCGGTTTTGGCAGCAGGCCTTTCAGACCAGCCTGAATAGTCAACCAGAGAGGCAACAGGCTTTCGGGTCAAACGGAGAACATTTATTCTGCATTTCCGTGAGGGAAAAATTGGTAGCAGGAATCCGGCAGTCACCGACTGAATAAAGTGATTTTCTGGGGCGTTCTTGTGAAATGTGAAAACTGTGGCATAGCGATTATTAGTACGGATTCGGCATGCGGATTAACTTCATAACAAAGTCCTTAATTATTATTAAGTTGAACGTATTTTTTGGGCAGCAATCAAGATGAATGAATCATGGTTTTTTCCTTACTAAGATAAAGGTGAAGTATTATTCCCGATTTGACTTCCGGGCAATGCTAAAACATTCTGATTTGTTAGAACAGTCGGCAGCTAATTTAGTGAACAGGATCCAATACGGAACCAATAAGCTTCTTCCTGATGCAGACGTCCTGATGCTGACCGAAGATATCACAAAGCGATTTCTTCGCCCCAAAACATTGTCTCCTTTTTGTCCATCTCAATATTACCCCCTATCAGCCATCGGAAACTTCATCGAGCAGTGTACAAAAGACTTGCCCCGACTGTGAGCTATAACTACGGACCCACTCATGTTGTAGTTACCGATTCATGTGCATGTTGAGCAAACGACTTCACTGAACAATGCAAATAATTGTCAAACTTATCCCGACACAAAGGGAGTCGACCAAAGTCGACTGGCAAAGAAGAGGCAAAAAAGCTAAAGCCAAACCCTTGCAATGAAAGGAAGCATATGATTTTTATAGCACTGCCAGCAGGCATTGTTCAGAGCTGTTGGAAATCAGGGAAGAATGGGGGAAAAAACCAGGAGATATTGAGCGGGGAATGAGCAAAGAGCTATGGGGGGGCTGCTGATTGTCTCAGGGCTGCATAGCTCGACGACTGGGGCGTTGGAGGCAGGGAGAAAGGCATTCAAACGTGCTAAGCGGCGCTTTAATCGCGCACAAATACGAAAAGTGCAGGACAAATCGACAAGTGCCGCTAGGAGGAGCCGCCAGGAACGAGCGACCGAGGAAAAGAAAGGTGCACATTGTTGGCCCTCGCCCCCTGTCATTGGCTTTTCACATTTCAATGAACGCGACTTCTGCATGAGCTCGGAGTTGTAGTCACCTCCCATCTTCCCTCCCATCGAACAATGAAAGTCAATAAATTTGATTTGACATTTCCTTGAGGGACGCCCCCAGAATCAGTGCTTCCCCCACCAAAGTTTTTGCGCTGATTTTGCACATTTCCGCGTTTGTTTGTCGCCAAGTCTCAATTGTAATTTTATTATTATGCCTGACACAATGTCACACATTCTGTTTTTTAATGATCTGGGCGTTCTTTGAGCCATGTTCTTGTCAATTGAAATGGCAGAATGAGTGTGGACAGTAAAGTGCAATGCCTTGTCTAGGGATTTATATTAGGTGGAGGAACAGACTAAGAAGTGAGTTTATTTTTCATAAGATTCTTGCTGATAGATGCAGTACATTTCCACTAGCATAATACATTAAACTTTTGCCATAGATTTTACTAATCAAACCCAAATCCAGCCAATGCTAATAACTCATTTAACTTGGCTGCATTATGTGCAGACAGCCCCCGCCGTTCTTATCCAAAGACTCCCAGGGTACATTAGAGCCCTACAGCAGCCGCTGCTAATATCGAACTCCGAACCACATAAAATTAATCATTGATTCTTGGCCCCGGCCTCTGCCTCTGCCTCGGCCTCGGCCCGTGTGTGGCTGGCGTGTGCTCGAAATTTATGCATTGCAGCAAGTTTCCCGTAATTGAGACTGGAAACTGCAATTGCTGCATAACGTGGCCAGGAAATTAATTTACAGTCAGTACTAACTTTTGATTACCAAACATCTCCGGAGAATGCAGCGGTGGGCGCAGGGGAAAGGAGAGCTGGGACCACTAGTTGGTTTAGCCGGAGCGAGTACTCGTATTTACTGAGCGCTTGTTGAGTGCGCTTTAAGAATCAAAATGCCGGCTTAGAACCGTAATACTAATTAAAGTACAAAGGCAGAGACACTTGCGGCAATTAGACGATGGTGGCGAGTAGATAGCTTGAGAGCCGGAGACACAAAGGGAGGACTAAGGACCTGACAATTACATGCCACATTTTAAGCGTAATTTTATTACCGACATCGAGAGCCAGCTCATATCGTACTCGTATGTTTATGTCATAAGCTGCTACTTACTCGTAAGTGGAGCGTTCCCTCCTGTCCTGTACTCTCCACAAGCACGCACACTCAGAGATGCTCAGACGCTCGGATAGTACTTTGGCATAATCCTTTTCGGGGGCGTTCTCGCATTTAGACATTTGCACAGGACATACAAAATTTAAAACGTTCTCCGACTGTGGGTTGTAATTACATTGTAATTGCAACATCCTGTCAGCTCTCGTATGCTCCTTGCTGCAACAAATTGCAGCAAATTTAATGCTTATTACATTTTGGTATTTAATATGAAAATGAAATGATAATTTTATCGGATACGGGCAGAGAACACTGACTATGCGAGGAAGCTTGCCCATTCTCGTAAGGCAGAGAGCTTATGAAGATATTTGATTTACAGAGCCACGTACGGTCTTACTAACGATGAAGGAAATTTTAAGCTACTGGTCAGTATGTTATTTCCCCTATATTATATTTCATGACAAGATCGATTCAAGTCATCCAGTAAGAGCTTTCAAGTTAAGATAAATAACATGATATAACCCTTAAGAGCATAGTGGCATCGACGTTTCTGACTCGATTTCTGTTTGAATTAAAGCAACAATAGCATATGGGATTAGGCTGATTGCAAGACCTCAGGGCTAAGTGCGTTGCATAAATTTAAATGGCAATTTCCACTGGGCTGTAGAGCCAAACAATCCGAATTCGATTCAAACACAAAATGTGGATTTTGCTTTGTTTTGTGGCTGCTTGAGTTATTATGACATTGTGGGGGCTTCAAGTGCGTGAATATGTGAGAACTGTGTGCTCATTTGTGGTTAATTGAATGCATAAATTTCAGTGTTCAGGATTTGCGGCATAATGTGGATTTAATTGGCATTAGAATGGCAAAGAAAGTCCGGAACAGGGCAAACCAATTATTAAAATCTAAGCGCAAGTGTCATCGGACTTTGGGCCATCCCATGCCACATGCCACCCATTTTAGATTAAAATTCCCCCAGCAATGGCAACTCTTTCATTTCCTTTCCACGCAACAAATTAAAAAATTGTGCAACAATTGAAAGCACTCAAAAAGCAGCCAACAGAGGAAGGAAAAAGAGCAGACAAATTGTCAAGAAAGTGCAGCGATGTTCATGCCACTTACAAAACGTTGCAATAGAAGGAGCCAAGACAACGGCCAAAGTGCGACAAGAAATTAGAAAAGGAATGGAACTGATGCTTAAAAAAACTGGAAGCAAAATGCCAAGCAGCACAACGGGATGAGCAGGCTGTACCAGCTGAATCGTGGGTCCAAGGACTAACTCTAGATGCCAGTGTGAGCAGTGCAGAACGGTTCGGTGTTGGTATCGGTGTCGGTGTCGGTGTCGGTATCGGTGTCCGTGTCTGTGGCACGTGCAACACTTGCCACAGTAATTGATAGCACGCTAGACTGATTCGTAGTGCAATTCAAGGCAGCTTTTTCCTTTTTGCATCGCTGCACGACAAATTTATTTTTGTACTTTTATAATACTAGTTTCCACTGCTGTTTGTCGGAGATGTTGGAAAGCGCAGTTTCCATTTAAGAATGCATTCAACTTGCATTGCATTCAGCATTCAGCAATGCGGGAATGCCTGAGTTTCTGCAATGGGAAAATCTCTGGGAAATGTGAACATAATGGGACGAATGTCGATACAAATGTCCTCTGTCTAAAGGAAAGACTGATTCTTGAATTGAAAGCTGTGAGACGGTCTCCATATAGCTCATCCCTGACCCCACCATTTAATTTTAATATGAGCCACAGCAAACACCCGTAAATTGAGAAACTCTGATCTTTTTATTTCAAGCTATTTTTGAAACAAACAAAAATACCAGTCCCGGGCAAATCTCATGCTAGTCAGAAACAAATGGTTGAGTATTCTTGTTCGATACCCATCCAAAATTGTGTTATAAAAAGCAATTTGTTAACGCCATAAAAACCCGACCCGCTCGTTCCTTTTGTATCCATTCCGTCTTTTTTTTATTATAGTCGATGACCAATTTGAAAAGCAATATGTGGGGGGACTGGGACTGGGACTAGGCC